GGAAAAGTCCAGAAAAAGTCACTCTTGCTGTAGCCAAATTCTTTTCAATTGCTGTGGCTCATTATACAGCTGTTTAGAACCGATAAGTTGATGGAACAGTTATTTTATCATCACCACTCTAGCTTCTCCTCTCTGTTCTCTCAGCTTTCTGAATCAGGTTGTATTTTCCAAATAACTTGGCTGAGTGGACTAAAATATTAATGTGGGGTGAGAAAAGTTAGCTAGAATACTTCCAGATAATGACATGTACTAGGAAGGCCACTAGTGTTCATATTCCATGTATTTGGAATACATGTTGTTGGTAACACCTGCCTGCTATAAGGGGTGAGGCAACAGCTCCAGGAACCTTTGAGTGTATCTAAATTAGAATAGACCTCTCTGTTCCCTTTGCCTTTCCAATCTACCTTATAGTGCTAGTAGCTGATGTTCAGATAGTTACAGACAGTGCCTGGAGAGAAAAGTAATCTTCTTTCCTCTTTCCTGTCTCCCTTGAATGGTTCTCTTCAATTACATCATTGACCAATGTGCTTGGTGCCTCCTGGAAAATGTAGCTCCCCATATTCACTAGGCACCTTAGTTGATGAGGCAAGAAGTGAGGCAACATTACAGGAAAGAGAATATCCTTTATATATTTTACTTACCCTAACCCATTTGCTTATCTAGGAATGGCTGCCCTGCCACCAAAGCAGCAGTATATCATCAGGTACAAGTAAACTAGGTTGTAGACTGGGGGCTTCAAGAACCCTGACCTACGATGCCACATGGAATCCAGCCAACTTGTCTTCTGCTAACTTTAGACTGAAGATACTTAATAAAAGACTTGGCTCTCTATTTAGCAAAAATTTGGCTGTGTAATTGACATAAGGGCATAATTTCATTCCTTGTTAGGGTATAGATTAGAACAACTGTGGGTTTATAAAGGTGGTACTCATCAATACAAGTTTTGTAGGGTTGCCAGGTCTGGGTTGAAAAATACCTGGAGACTTTGGGGATATATCCAGGAGAAGGCGGGGTTTGGGGAGGGGAGGGGCCTCAGCTTGGTATAATACCATAGAGTTTACCCATCAAAGCAGCCATTTCCTCCAGGGGAGCTGATCTCTGTCAGCTGGAGATCAGTTGTAAAAGCAGGAGATCCCCAGGCCACACCTGGAGGCTGGCAACCCTAACATTTTGTCTGTGTGGAACAATGAAACAATGACAGCTATATGCAGCCTTCACTTTTACAAGCAACAGATTTCAGAAGTGTAGATGCAGTTTCTATCACAGGCTGCATTCCTAAAAAACACTTCCCTGATAGTAAGCCTTATTTAATAAAATGGGACTTATTCCTGAATAGACTTGTTCATGACTGCTCTTCTTTAGCATATCAAATTCCTTTCCATCCAATATCTTGCCTTCACCTCCACCTAGAAATGCCCCCTCCCACATCAATTGTGTATTTAGTGTTCTTTCTCAAACATCCCTAGTCCTCCTCACCCATGACTGCATTATTGACTCTTGTCTTCATTCCTACTCTCTCTCTCTTATTTACCTTTGACTTTTCCTTACATCCTCTTGTTGTCTCCTACATGATTTAGTTTATGAGCACCTTGGAACAGGGACCTACCTTGCTTTGTTTATGTTCCTTTATAAAATGTCATGTTCATCAACAGTTTAACAACTACTACTATTTCACACCTCTTAATATATTCTATTATCCCTAATAAGCTACAGCACAAAGAATGTTCAATAAATTAATACTTCACCAGTATAAACTTTTCAAATAGAAGGACAAAGGAATGATGATCATATAAAATAAGTCATATAGTATTTCCTTTTCTTTTGAGTAAAACAGTTTTCAGGATTTTTAAAAAATAATGGCTCTTCTTATGTCATGCTATTCTAGTATCCGGAAATGATGATCTCATAGTTGCATAATTGAATTCAAAGATATAACTAACATCTCTCTAGCAGAATAACACAAGATTCTCTTCAATGCTAACAACAGTTAATTAGATTTGTTGGTATAAATTCTGTGGTATATATAGGTAACAAATAACTTTTCTAAAGCCACTTCTTTCATTGGTGGAACTAGGACATTTTGTAGAAGCCTTTACAAAATTAGTTCTTTTACCTTATAGCTATCAAAGCCATCATTAATAAATTTGGTCACAAATGAACTGAAAAATGTGAGAATTATGTTTCATGCCATGCTTGATTTCTAAAGCATTTCAAAGGCAGTTCCACACATATCAAAGTTTCATGACACACCTTCATGCAAGAAGCTAGGACATCAAATGTCTACTTTACTGCTGATGAAACCATCTTCAAACAAAAATAAAGCTTTTCTTTGCAAGCCCCCCTTTGCTGTGTCCACAAGTAGACCATTTGAAGAACTTTTGTCTACTTTTTAATGTGAGTTTCATAGCTTCTGATTTAAGGCTGTACAGGTCATGTTTTCTACAATAACATAGCAAGTTTTAATTCCTTGGGATGATATAACTTTTTGAGCTGAACTGCTTGAACTTTAAAAAGGGAAGTGTTCCCAAGGAAAACCATTACTTTGCTTGACAAACCACCTAGCAATGATCTTCAGGCACAAAGTAAAACAGTACCATTCAAAATTTGATATCTAAGCTTCGTGTGATAAGGCTTGCCAATTTCTGATACCTTAAGCATGTTAAAAATTTATTCAATGATGGATTATCTCTGGCTCAGTGTTCATAGTGGAAAGGTTCATATCAATGAAATATGTGAACAAGAAACAGATGCATATGTGATTGAGAACTGACTCAATAAACTACTAACTTGGCAATATTGCCTGACATAACTAGCAGGAAGAATTCACAATGATGCTAAAGCTCTTAGTGGAACAGGGAACTATTACTGCCACAGAAGTTCTGCTACATTATGATGGGATCTATAAAAGTAGTTTAGAAACTCAAGATCTGGCAGTGGAGTGACAAATATCACTAATGTTAATTTGGGATAAAATCCTAAAATAATTTCAGTCAAGTTGGATGAATATGCATTACAAAGAGAGAGCGTGACATAAATAGTAAATTTCTTTGAAAGCTAATCTATGTAAGCTATATGATCAATTAACAGAGATAAAATGTTAATTTGGGATAAAATCCTAAAAAAAATTCAGTCAAGTGGGATGAATATGCATTACAAAGAGAGAGCATAACATATAATAGTAAATTTCTTTGAAAGCTAATCTTTGTAAGCTATATGATCAATTAACAGAGATAAGTATGTACAACCAATATGTTATCATCCACCTCAATCCTCTGGCACAGCGAAGGATATACTCACAAATTTAGTCAACATTACATATAGTTTTCCAGATGACAACATTCATTCCCTCTACAAAGCAGACAAATATTCAGGTTTTTTTAAAATTCACAGCTTTCATATATGAAAAATAATTATTCTATTCATTAGATTGCATCACATCTTTATGGAATTTAGAATTGTGCTGTCTTGGAAAAGTGTCAGGAAGTGGCATACAATTTACTATTGCACCCCATTCTAATTGTGTGTTGGGAAGAATCTTGGTATATCTTTCTCTGAGCACTGCTTCCTAAATTGTAAGAGTGACCTCTAGTGCTTTGCTGCTTTGTTAGAATCTCTGAGCCCAATGTTGCTATAGATTTGATAAGTCTTTTAATTATAATAGCCTTTTGAATTCAAGAAGTGCACAAAGCAGAATAATAAGAGGGAAAGTTTTTAAAAGTCTGTATAAATTTAAGGAGAATGATTTAGAGAGGAAACTTCTTTTTTTCATGGTCAAGAGTACATGAATGTCAAATGAGATATCATATCTGAATGACAACCAAAGATCATTTTAGTCCTGCAGTGCAACCATCTATTTCAAGTCTGAGTCTTTAATATAAAAGGCAGCAGATAAGAAACCACAGAACTTCCACTTCCCCATGTCCATTGCTTAGATGTTCTCCAGGAGCTTTCTCCTCCAGCAGGGCTGTGATCCTTAATGAATTCCTGTCTGCATCAGCACTCACTTTCTCCAACTCTAGTCACTGTTTCTGATATTGTTTTATATATGCTCCATAAGTGGAGCCTACAGAAAATTTTAAAACATATTGGAAGATCACTGAAGAGGTTAATGCAAACTTCAATCTGTGGGCCATTAGGAATCCTGGGGGCAATTAGGTCTCCTGACATCCATTACCAAACACATAAAATATATGCACTAGTCTTTGATAAGTCAATGCCCCGCAAAGGCAGCAAGATCTGATTCAACCTTGGAAATTATTTTCCCCAAATCAATAAGAGTTACTGCTTTCCAGGGAACTGACTCTTTAGAATTGCATTGGACTTTTCCTCAGCATTTTAACCCACTGGGCAAAACACAGACCAAAAACAAACAAATTTTTTTAAAAAAAAACTTTGTTGTAGCTGATAGAATTCTGCTGCCTGGACACACAAGAACATTACACTCTGTGGTAATCGATAAACACCCCATAAAATGTTGTTCTCTGTGTTTGCTCCTCATTACATTTGCTGTGCTTTGAGCTTTACAGTACAGTAGAGTTACTCTCCATTCATGAGATACAGGCAGATACCTGTCTGTAAAATTACAAATTGCTGAAAGCCAAGCAGATGCAGCAAAGAATAGCAGTATGCCAGTAATCCCTATGAAAGATTTTTACTCCTTGCAAAATACTGCATTCCATCCTGTGTAAAAAGCATTTTAAAAAGGAGAGGGAAACAATGCAGAGCACGCAGCTAATTGATGAAATATGAATTTCCAATTATATGGGAGCCTGAACCTAGTCAATAGAGCTCTGATTACAATCTTATAAAAATGCTAAACATGGAAAGATGACATTTTTTTCCAGTTGTTAAAACATTTTTAGCCCCATTTACTTGCTGTTACAATTCCAGCTGTAAGGATTTATTTCAAGAACTACATTTCTAGCCCAGATCTCGCAGTAATAAGCCATAAGTTTTCAGAACAATCTGGTCCAAGTTGAATATCCACATGCAATACTTACATTTGTTCCCTGCTACTAACACATTCCAGTAATGAAAAGCAGCCAGAAACAGCAGCCTGACGAAGATTTCAGTGAAAGAATCCATGTTGTCATTGACTGAGGCACCCAAAAGAGCCAGAGTATTAGGAAACAGGCACAGCTGCTCTGCACTTCAGCCTGTTCCTGCTTCCTCTGCTCTCTTCACTCTCTGTCTGTCTTTCAATGCTTCCCAGTGGCCAAAGAGCTCAGTCAAACACTCTCTGCATCTTCTCATATATACACGCACTCACACACATCACAAGATCTGCTCTTTCTCCCTCCTAACAACAGCAATCCCTGAAGAGCAGCTGCAAGAATCTCTCCTCTAATTTCACAGAATCACTCAGAGCTAAACTGCTAGACTACCCTGTACAGTTTGGTTACTGAAGCTTCACACTCATAATGTGTCCTGGACACCCCTTGTGGTGACAGGTAGGAAATGTGAGTCTACGATGAAAGCCAGACAATAAAGAGAACAGGCTGCACATGTGTGCCAGTCCAGCCTCCCTGCTGGATTATGACTGCTCCCAATTCTTTATGGTCATTCAGTAGGAAGGGGAGAAAGAAAAAGAGCAAGAGATAGAGGAAAGGTGGTGGTGGAAACAATTTATATGTGCTTTCAGTTTCCACCGTCCTTTTCATTTGCTCTGTATTTATAGGGAGCTTTCAGCTGCTACAGCATTTATGGGTATTGAAGAGATTATAATTCTAGAACATGCTTGCCAGAGATTGCTGCTATACAACAAAACTGTCATTTGCAATTGCAGTAAAACTTGCACACAGCCACAGAATTGGCATTCACCTGCCACTGATGACACAGGAGAGAGCAGTTCTTTAACAAGAAATGGAATGCCTAGATTCCGATGGAATTCCAGTTTAAACCCACCAGTATGTTACTTGATGAACTCAGTCTTGCTGTTTTATTTTCCACACTCATAATGTAATCAAAAGCATAAAAGAGAACTAATTGGAATGACTTTGACCTAAGATAATAACCACTGGGTTGCTGAAAAGTCTCTCACTGTCTCTCCCTCTGCATAGAATTCAGCATCCTGTCAGAGAATGTTTGTAAATCATATTGGCAATATAAGTTGTTGTTGTTCAGTCGTACAGTCGAGTCCGACTCTTCGCGACCCCATGGACCAGATCACGCCAGGCAATGTAAGTATTTGGACACAAATACAGAAGTGCTATCTTATCTGAAATGACTTTAAATGAAATAAGGTGGCTGACCTGGGGGAAAATGCCCTGTCCCTTTAAAAGAAGCTTAATGTTTGGAAACAGGCAGCTGAAGCTTTCATGGCATGCAGGTAAACAGTGTCCAATGAAGCCTCTGTTCAAGGGTCAACACTTTTTTTCTGCTGACAGTTGGCAACCCATCTGAGAGGCCACCATCAAGCTCTCATGTAGTACAATAAAGAAAGATGGTTTCACCACTGGTTTCCCTCAGCCTACTTTTTCTAGGGCAATTCCTTTGAAATCAATCAGACAGTTGTAGATTAAATTTATTTGTTTCCTATGCTTTCTTCAAAATGTATTATGATATTTTCATTAACAAAATAAAAATGGCTGATGGTATTTGTTGTTGTTCAGTCACACAGTCGAGTCCGACTCTTCGCGACCCCATGGACCATCTCCCGCCAGGCCCTCCTGTCTTCCGCCGTCCTCTGAAGTTGGCTCAATTTCATGTTCGTTGCATCGATGACACTGTCTAACCATCTCATCCTTTGCCGTCCCGGTCTTCTTTGACCTTCGATCTTTCCCAGCATCAGGGTCTTCTCCAGTGAGTGCTCCCTTCTCATTTGGTGGCCAAAGTATTTGAGCTTCAGTTTCATTATCTGGCCTTCCAGGGAACAGTCAGGGTTGATTTCTTTTAGGATTGACTGATTTGATCTTCTTGCAGTCCAAGGGACTCTCAAGAGTCTTCTCCAGCACCATAGTTCAAAAGAATCTATTATTCGGCGCTCGACCTTCCTTATAGTCCAACTCTCGCAGCCATACATGACTACTGGGAATACCATTGCTTTGACCATGCGGTCTTTTGTTGGCAGGGTGATGTCTCTACTTTTTATCATGCTGTTTAGGTTCGCCTAAATGATGGTATTACCCTGTTATTATTGCTTTCAGTGCTCTCAACATATAACATATAACACTAAATAATACTTGTGGGCATAGTCACCACAAGTAGTAATACTCCACACAAAGTGAATAGTGATCATGAAAGTCTGTTTCTGTAATGTATTCAGATGCTGCCCTGAATGCATGGGGGATGAAGTGTGAATCATCCCATGGAGAAGCTATGTTAAGCTTCAGGCTTCGGCAGGGATTCGCGCCGAAAGTATTGTGTCCAATCACATTTGAACTGTCTGTGGTGGGAACGTTTGTGATTGGGCTGTTATGCGAACAACCTGATAGGTTGGTACTTGTACAGTAGGTGTGGCTACATTAGCCCGGAATGTTTAAATACCGAGCAGCTGAAATGGACAAGCTGTTCGGGCTATGAGGAGTGGTACCGTGTTAGAGAAGTCGATTATTGAGCTGAATAAACCTGAGTTTTGCTGAAATCACTCTCTGACTATTTGTTAAGTGCGGACTTAACAGTTTCACTTTTTACTTCATAGAAAATATGACATAACATGTCATGAGAAGGTTATGCACATATGTATGAGCATGTGCACACATATTATTTGCATCTGATTCATGTGACTCTTCTCCATTTAGAAAAGAGGTAGTAGCAGCAGTATCAGTTCAATGTATGAATGGACGTGAACTCACACATTAAGTTCTATGTTCATTGTGGATGAAGTTTCATTGCTGGCTCTGCCAATTTATCATATTTTTGCACCACTTTTGTGTCATTTATACATTGTATGCCAGCTAATGCAAAAAACATGAACATTACAAAACTTTGACAGGAAAAAAATGGTGTGAGGAAACAGAAAATGCCAAGAAAATAAAGACTCACAAGTTCAATTCACACAAGGTAAAGGCAAAACAAAGTGGAGATATCTTTTAGCCGAAACAATAGGGCTGTAGGATTTATCAGCATCCTTGATACATAGGTGTGCAGTATGATTCCAGAATCCAAACTGACAGAATCTTACTTATCACCTGTTTGGAGTGAGGGGCTGACATTAAGTCCCCCATTCCTAGTTCCCAAGGAATAACTGATTGATGGGATTCTCCATCTTTTTTCTAGCCATGTAGAGCCCTGGGCACCAACCACATGTTCTATTTGGTTGGAGACAGAGCCATTCTATTATTAAATAGGAACAGAATAGAAGTTTGGTTATTTTTAGTTAATTTCAGTGTTGACTAGATTTCTGATGCAGGCTGCTTTTATTTTATTTATTTACTTCATTTATGCCTCACCTTTCTCCCCAATGGGAACCCAAAATGGCTTCCATTGTTCTCCTTTCCACCATTTTATCCTGACAACAAACCTTTCAGGTAGGTTATGGTGAGCATGTGTGACTAGCCCAAGGTCAGCCAGCAAGCTTCCATGGCAAAGTGGGGATCTGAACCTGGATCTCCCAGTTCCTAGTATAACACTCTAACCATTATGTGAAACTGGCTCTTTACTGTTTATTATTGATAAAGTTCCTCATCAAAGGCTCCTAAGTAAGCTCAATAGTCATGGGATAAAAGGACAAGTCCTCTTGTGGATCAAAAACTGGCTAATTAATAGGAAACACAGAGTGAGTATAAATGGGCAATTTTCTCAGTGGAGGGTGGTAAACAGTGGGGTACCGCAGGGATCAGTACTTGGTCCACTGCTTTTTAACTTGTTTATTAATGATTTGGAGTTGGGAGTAAGCAGTGAAGTGGCTAAATTTGCAGATGACATGAAGTTGTTCAGGGTGGTGAGAACCAGTGAGGATTGTGAGGCACTCCAAAGGGATCTGTCGAGGATGGGCGAGTGGGCGTCAATGTGGCAAATGGGGTTCAATGTGGCCAAGTGCAAAGTGAATCACACTGGAGTTAGAAATCCTAACTATAAATACACATTGATGTGCTCCGAACTGGCAGAGACTAAACAAGAGAGAGATCCTGGAGTCATAGTAGATAACTCAATGAAAATGTTGTGACAGTGTGCAACTGCAATAAAAAAACCCAACACTATGCTGGGGATTATTAGGAAGGGAATTGAAAACAAACCAGCATCATATTGCCCCTGTATAAATCAATGATGTGACCTCATTTGGAGTACTGTGTACAGTTCTGGACACCGCACCTCAAAAAGGATATTATAGCATTGGAAAAAGTGCAGAAAAGGGCAACTCAAATAATAAAAGGGTTGGAACACTTTCCCTATGAGGAAAGGGTAAAGCGCTTGGGGCTCTTTAGCTTGGAGAAACGATGGCTATGGGGTGGCATGATCGAGGTTTATAAGATTATGCATGGGATAGAGCAGTTCGAGAAAGAAGTACTTTTCTCCCTTTCTCACAATACAAGAACTCATGGGCACTCAATGAAATTGCTGAGTGGTCAGGTAAGAACGGATAAAAGGAAGTCCTTCTTCACCCAAAGAGTGATTAACACATGGAATTCACTGCCAAAGGAGGAAGTGGTGGCTACAAGCATGGACAGCTTCAAGAGGGAATTAGATAAGCATATGGAGCAGAAGTCCATCAATGGCTATTAGCCACAAGATATAGATAGGACCTTTCAGGCTGGGGCAAGTGATGCACTGTATTCTTGGTGCTTGGGAGGGGGCAACAGTGGGAGGGCTTCTAGTGTCCTGGCCCCACTGGAGGACCTCCTGATGGCACCTGGTATTTTTGGCCACTGTGTGACAGAGTGTTGGACTGGATGGGCCTTTGGCCTGATCCAACATTGGCTTCTCTTATGTTCTGATGTTCTAAATGATGAGCTTGTTCCTTTAGATCAATGGGATAACACATACTTTAGTGATTATGAACACATGGAACTGTCTTATACCAAATCAGATCATTGGTCCATGTAGCTAAGTACTGTTTACTCTGAATGACAACATCTTTCCAGGGTCTCAGGTGGAGACATCTGTTAACCAAGTCTCTTCAAGTGGAAATGTCAGTGTACCCTCTG